TGTAGTTACAATTTATGTTTGACCTCTTAAAATAAATAGTCAAGAATTAATGAAATGTTTATTTTCAGCTCCAAACCGATTACAATGACACAGTCGAAAGAAGAGAGAAAAAAGAAGAGAGAAAAATATAATCCTAAGCTAAAGACATCATCGAAAAGCCTTTGATAAGCAAATAAAATCCACAAATTAAACTACAGAGAGCAAGGGCTTATGAAAGAGAAGTATTCTCGAGACTTCTCTTTAAAAATAAACAAAAACTGAAGTTTCGAAATCTGCACTAAATTCGAAATTTCTTTCAACGAGCATGGCATCCAAAGCCGTTTTTCTTGGATTGATAACAAATCCTACAAAGTGGGCTCAGTTGCTCCTTTGATTTATTTACAAAAGGAGGATGGAAAGATGGGGAATTCCACAGTGTATATGTGTTCGCTTCTCTTAATGCCAGAAATTTCAAACCGAAAACTTTAGAAATTTTCATTAATGAACAAATTTTGCATTAAGTATAGAAAATTACGATTTTTTCCCTTCTATTAAAGCTCTTTACAAGATTCAGACAAATATTAGACAATGATAAGTTTACAAAACATGCATTAACTACACACATAAATGTCCCATGGTCACATAAAAATTAAAAAAAAGCTAAATAGATAAGCACGTAAAATAATACATGAATCTGCAATAAATATATTTTATTCATATAATGTAGCTGCATATACTTAAGCACAAATTCGTTTGCAACGTCAATAAGAAACTGAGAATACACCTTTCTTCTGCAGTTTAAAGAGATGAAAATTGCCGTTGTGTGTAATCCAGTTTCAGTCTCAACGAATGTGACTCATTTTGGACTCCTTCATAATGAATCTTAGCACACTAAACGTTGACCCACTGAATCTTTCGAAGGAGATGAGTTATAAATCTGATGTTTGCGAAACTTGTTCTAAGTTATCGATTTAATCCGTATAAATTGCAAAATCACACTGCGTTGCTCTGTAAACACGTTACTGTCTCTTTAGGTGCGTTTTGCAAATCGCACCATCAAACACGACATTTTTGTGGCATGGCGTATATATGATTTTTCTTGCAGGCATCAGTCGATCCGATTTGGATTTATTTTGAACTTCTTCAATCAAATAGGAATACTGGCCGAACTAAATCTTTCAAAAGTAGAGGATAAAAAATCTTGTTTTTGCGAAATTCATTCGAAGTTTCCATTTAACTCGTATGAATCGCACTAAATTACTATACTGTGTAGAAGATACCAACAAACAAATTGTGTAGCATAATTCACGTATATAGTTTCTTTTGAAAGCATCAGTCTGACCAATTTGGATTCATTTTGGATTTTTCCTCGGAACTGGAATATTGTCCCACTGACTTTTAAGGCGATAGATTTGATGCTTGTGAATTTTTAAATTTATCCATATGAATCACACTAAGCTGCTCTGCTTTTCATTTTCAGATGAGAAATCTAAGTACGGCACTTTTGTGCCATTGTTCACGCGGCTAATCCATTTGATTTGGCTGATGGCGTCCAATCAATCGGCCTCACCTTGTATAAATATAAGCTCAAAAGACTTTTGAATAAGCAGTGAATAAAGTAACTTTTGCCATTGCAAAATAAATATTAAGATTATTAATTTATAAGGAAGAATATTTAAAACATGTAATTTGAGTGTATGTTTCGTTATATATATATATATATATATCCTATAGCTTAATAGAATGAAGTAACCATTATTTTTAGTTCCTGCCTTGTATTTTTCCTGTTAAAATCGACAATCCTGTACATTTACCAATCACTGTTCTTAATTAAATACTGCGATAACAAACAAGCAGTTATATGTGCTTAATTTAATTATAATTATGCTTATAAGTAACCGACTACGCTCGATATCCTAATTTTGAAAAAAGTGTACACATAAATTTATTTCTGTTGTTAATTAGCAGAATGCTACCTAAAATGATAGAAACAGTTTATAAACATATTAATAAAATGTATTTTTACTTTTTTCTCACATTTTGGATCAAAAATGTATTCAAATTTCAGTATCACGAGATTAGTTCCCTAAACATTATTTATCAATATTTTACTGTTATTTTTTTCACTTATATTTATTAAAGTATAAGGAATAAAATGACCTAAAATCTAAGTCATAAAGCAAAATGTCTATTAAATATACCTGTTTGAGTACATACACTAGCTATTTTTCGAGAATTTTTTCTCTCTTCATTTACAAAATTGTCTGCAAAAATCTTAAATATGTATATAAACCTAAACTTTTAGTTCATTTAATTTCCAATATTTTGTAGAATATTTGTGGGAAGTATCATAAAATTGCTATAGTAATATTTTAAGTTACGGTGTTTTTCGTATTAGAAATGTTGACAAAAACAAGTTTTTCAAAAAACAAATTTAATGTTTTATCTTTAGAAAATATATTAGAAATTGATACATTACATTGCTAAAAGTGCCCCTGTTTTGTATATTTCACCTTCTGTTAACTCTGTTTTAGAAGATGTTTTTCTTTAAAGAAGCTCTTAAATTTTTTCTTGTGAATTTTGCGGAATGTAAAGAATGTCGTTTTGAATCGAAAATCCGAGTTTTATCAATACAGTTATATCCCTTGATAGTCCATGTTTCATATTAAGTTTCCCAATATTTTTAACATACTCAAAAATCCATTATTAAACTGTATTACTCCTATATAGGAACCAAGACACAATGTTGTCAACTCAACAAACACTTGTTTTGGTATGACACGTTATTAAAACTCTCATTATTGTTTTGAGTTTCAAACACACTGGACAGGATAATGCAGAAAATACAGATTTTAGAATTTCAACATCGAATATTCTATTACCAGCATCATTTTAAAATTAAAAAAAAAAAGAGAATCTTTAGTTTTGACAGTATTAGTGTTGAGAAAAAAGTTACTTAGTTTTTTCCAGTTTAAGATTATTTTGCAAAGTCTATTAATGTTTATCAAAGCAAGAAATATGAAAAATGTGCAATGCCATCGCCGGGATTCGAATGCCGAACCCCAGGATGCTAACCGGCCGTGTTTCCAAGTACATCACGAAGTCGTGCGGTGAGAAAGGAGAAGATAACTTACAGTTTTGTCTGAATTTCGTTTCAATGTCTTCATTCAAATTGATTTTTGTATAATTCAAAATGTGAGATACATATGCTGTAATCGCGTAGTTTTTCATCCCTCTCCCTTTCATAAAGTAAATTGATTTTTATCCAATTGTACATTTTCTTTACTGGTATTCATAATAATTTACTTTACTATCGAAGAATATCGATGAGTTCATCAGCCTCATGTTACCTGCAACAAACAGAACCACTTTGGTGGTTTCGTATATTATTCTTACGGACATTTTGACGTCCAATATTAATCATTTTACGAATTTGGGTTTAACTTTTATCGCTTTTATCATTCAAGTTTAACTTTTATCGCTCTGAGCCTTATTCAGAAAATCCGTATTATCCTTCCAACTTATTACTCTTCCTCATTTATGTTTCTGTACTAAAATGTTGCTAAATCTGGTGAATCCAATGTCATCATTACCGTAAAGATCGTGGGATATGTGTAAGCGTCATCGAGACCAACGTTGATTTTAGTTCTTGAATATGAACTATTCATGTTGACATTACTAATTTACTATTAATAAGATTCCGTGATTTGCAAAATTAATTTAATTGCATTAAAAGAATCACTACTATGCTTTGTATAATGTATGCATATTCATTACATTACCTAAACGAACATAGCACTGGATCGTGATATCTGATGACAACCTTGTACAAATTCAATCAGTTTCCATCTTAAACTGTAATTTATGCTATTCCGATTGCTTAAACAATGCTGAAATCTTGTTGTCTGGGATGGGCATGATGGATGGCAAGACATACCAAACCCCCGGGGGGGCAACAAACACGCCTTTTAAATCGAAAGGATTTTGAAGCGGTCACTCCTTGCTGGGAAACGCTTTTGCAGAAGGCAATGAGTGAGAATTCATACCTGCGATGAATTATGGTAGTCGAGTGTTTCCTTTAACTTTGCCTATCTCTACACTTGCTTGTTTAAGTAAAACTATCACATTAAAGATGAGATAAGATACATTGGGTCCAGCAAAAGTAGGAAGAACACTTATGTAATAACTGTGGATCTACATCTAAGATATCCAGTGCTTTCTGAAAGATGATTTATCAGTTGCACTTTAAGAGTATTTTCTTTTCTTTAGATCAAGATAAAAGACTCTTCCGTATTTGGCAACTATCAATGTGTTGTGAGCAATATCATGGGTGAAGCTCAAAGAACCATATCTTTAATTGAAGGAGGTAAGCATGTTATTTCTTTAAAAATAATTTTAAATTCAGCAATTTCAATATTTCTATTTTTCATTCATTTTTGTGTTCCCATTCTTAAGTATTAAATTATTTTGTAACACTACTAAACTCGGAAATTTTAATTAATGAATCTCCACATAATTTTATACTTATCTAAAGTTATTTTTTCACACTTCTGTTTAATTACTATTTTTCATTCTCAAAAATCAACTGCTTTCAACAGATTTTATACCAGATAGGTTTAATGGACTACTTCAGTTTCAAGACTTTGATTGATATAATTTGTTTTCCCGCCTTGAATGTAATTCGAAATTTTTTTTTGATAAATATCTGCATTTAAGCATTATAAATATGTATGAAGCAGCCCACATACTTCGAAAAGTACAATATTTTATGTTTAGCAGATTCCCTTATTATGGATTACCATTATTTGTTTGTACAATTATATTACTTTAAAACTATAATCAGCTGGCTAGCTAAATTTCCGATATTGGATCTCAAAAGCTTATGTTTCTTGAATGACATTCGTTTCACTAAGGAATCTGAACTATTTTATCGTAAAAGTAATTAAGTAATGAAATACTTCTACTGAAATTTATTTTTATTATTAACAAATACCGTTTATCATGTCATTTGGTATCTGTTAATAAACGTGTCAGTTTCTTAAGACAGTTTGTAAAAGACAAGAATATATAAATGATCATATAAAAATGGAGTAATATATTAGTATATTTCTGATAAAATGAAACTATACTTAATTTTAATTACATGCGTTTTGCTTAGTTTTCTCAGCTTTCGATTAGATGTGTGGGAAGTTCTGTAGACAAACCAGTCTGTTGAGGCAAACAAACTTCTGAATGTTTTAAATAAAATTCTGAATTTTACATCATTACATGGTCATCTAAAGCACAAGGTATCTTATTTTATTGCTGAGTGAAGTAAATTGATTCTAAGTGTTGACATGAGAAACCAGTCTGTTGAGGCAATCAAACTTCTGAATGTTTTAATCAAATCCTGAATTTTACATCATTACATGGACATCTAAAGCATAAGGTACCTTATTACGTTGCTGAGTGAACTGCGAACTTCCATCTTATCCGTAGTATTAACCAAAGAATCTATTTTTCTTCTAACAAGACAGTTTAACTCAGGGTTACAACAATGAAGCATACGTTACCAAAAGTAACAAATTACTAATGGATGTCTCAGGCAGTACATAACATCAATTCGATTTCCAAATGAAAAACCACAGTTATTCTTATCGATATCACAAGGTTATAAAATTTACTTGAGTAATTGTTTTTTTAAGAAATTTTAGAAGTATGAAAATGAACATTTTCTGCTACGTTCACTTATGACTTACAGTCAATGCACACTGCGCTGTTTATTGTTTTAAATGTGATATTGTGATATACTGGTTTTACAAATGGTAGCATAATTTAGATCTATTGGAAATTAATAATTTCACAGGCAAAATTAAAACTTGTTGGGAAATGCGAAGACGCAAACTAAGGATGATTTTATGACTAATGAGATTAATATGACCACTAATGAAGCTTTAGTGTTTAATGTCCCTCCACTGAGTTTCGGCTTTTACTCGTTGTTCGTGTACCTTCCATTGTCACTTACATCATGATCGGATTGTGACTTATTTGGGATACAGTACAGCTTATGAGCCTATGAGGAAAGAGTTCTTCGACGAAAACCCCTTAAGGGAAACTCTCGTATTCATGTTATACATGGAGAAACCCACAAAAATTACCATAAAGAGAGTTCCTTTACCGAATTGTGAGCCCGGATCGAATTAAGAGTGTGCAATGATCTTAACCTTTAGCTCCTGATGATCTTCATTCTTATAAGAACTCGAGGCTGCTATCCTTGTTTACAAATTTAGGTTCTTTGCTTGATGCCTTCTTATGATTTTTAGCTTCATCGCAACGTACCAGTGTATCCCTAGTTACCTCAGCACTGCAAATTTCCCTATCCCTTCTATCCTGCTTGCGATTCTTACGTTGAACTCATATACTTTGTAATGGCAAACAACTGCAAACTTCACTCTCTTGTAGTACATATGAAACAAAAATTCCTCGTACTGTGATACTTTCTGTCTAATTTTTGAAGTGTTTCAGCTAGGTGGTGACATTACATATGCATGGCATAAAATTCAAGATTTAGTGTACTGAAATAATCATCATGGAAATCATGCTTTTACGACGCCGAAACCACGCTTTTACTTCCCATGCGTTAACTAAAAGAAGAACTGCTGTGGCGAAGATAATCAGTTTAGAACATTTCAGCCCATCGCATTCCTAAGAAGTAAATTACTGCATCATTCTTAAGCTTAGTATTTAGATATTCATTTGCAAATATCACTTCCATAGTTAATTTTATGCAACTTCATTAAAATTAGATATAATTTGATTATGTTAGAAATATAAATTAGTAAGCCCATTTTGCGCTTGTTTCATTTATCTCGACAATCAGTGGTGCCTTGTGCTGCGTCTATGTGTTGATATGTACTTGATCTTTAATGTACTTGATAAATGTATATATATATATATTTTTAGGTTAAACATAATATATATACTTACATACTATGCGTTCTTACATCTATTATTTTCAGTATTTTTAACTTCTGCTGTGATTTTCTCTTATGAAGTATTTCCTATTTTCTGACTCTCTTTTTTCTTCTTTCTTTTCTTTATTTATCTTTTCCTTTTTCTGAACCTCTTTATTCTGAGTATCATAAAATATTTATATAATATCAGTTCATTTACTATTTGTCTTAGTAAGAGGCTAGTAATATTTACAATTTTGGTAGGTCAAAAACTTTTACAGGGATTTTTGACAGCACAGATTATTACCAGTTCTAATTCTCACATATGTTAAGGGATAATTTTACAGAGTATTAATATTTCCTCCATTTGATTTCACAGTTATACCCTGATTTATTTCACTAAAAGATACATGTGCTTTCAGTTGTTCCAAATCCTCCCGACGTCAGCATTTGGAGCGATGAACCGGGAGTATTGATTTTGAAACTTATGCCATCGCCGGATGATGTGCTTCCTGTGCTTGGATATAGGATACAGTGGCGACTTGTTACGGATAATGTGTGGCGACAAGTCAGATATCATCGAGCAAGTGAAGGTACTGGTGTTCTGGAAAATTATGCTTAGCTCTTCCTTAATTGGCAAAATTGTCTTAAATTAGCAATATTTTCTATTTATTGTTGATCATTTGCATCGTGTTATTTAGTAGATGATAAAATATTTATTAGAAAATTGATTGAATTTTCATATACGTAAATGTACGATACTTTTCATAGCGATTGAGAAACATGTATTTCCCTGTAACTTTCTCTGTAATGAACTGCTAGCAAAATGTTTAAGGTCCGCTGTCAGAATGTATCACTCTTCTGTAGGAATTGCATCATCTGCTTATCGTACAAATTATTTTAGTTCTGCTTTGTATTGCTTCTACAGAGCATTATTTGAATATATGTTACAGTTTCGTATCCTTTCGTATATCGGAGAAAAGAAAATATTAGGTGTAATAATTCAACACGTCTGCGTCGAAGTTGCTGCATTAATATTCAGAGTTGAGTATTTGAAACTAAATTGTAATGACTAACTTTTCTAAGACTTATTAGCCAACAAATATGTCTGAATGGACGAGCAGTTTTTAAAAGTTTTGTTAAAAAGGTTAGAAACAAGTTCGGTTCGAGTCCCGGCTAGGGCAATGCACACTTGTCACCTTTCCTGCTTCAAAAAATGTAATGTCCCTACAGTTGATCTAAAGTTCTGCAATTAAAGTAATATCACCGAAAATAAATAAAATGAGATTCTATCGAAAATTGATTAGTGAATCTAATAGTTGAAATGGATACGACGTACAAAAATGTAAATTAACACTAAAACATTATGTTTTCAGTTTATTCCCAATTATGTAATATATTTTAGTCTTTGTATAAAAAATTGTATTCCTCAAAAATTCATTTAGCTAGCAAACCACAGACAGTATTTATTGTATTTCAATAAGTAATAAATTTTTAAGCACTAAGAGATAATAGCTTTCACCAACAGATAAGGAACTACATATTTAATAATGTTATAACTCTGTGCTGAAACTGATTTTGAAAGTTAATATGCATTTTCAGTCCCTGAAAATTTCACTGGGCTTAATTATATAACTATGTACCATTTCTCATAAAATCATGTTGTAAAGTAATTTACATATCTGAAATTAGCAAAATGAATTCAGATGAAATTGGGGAAAATATCACTGCCTCATTTGCATTTTGGAAGTATAGTGATATTTAAGCAGATTTTGTTTTATATTTAAACTGTACTCGGTCTTGAGCAAGACAAGTGGTGTAGAAATCAGGAAAAAATCATATTCTAATTTGTTGCAATTGTCTTTCAAAAATTGTTGAAAATAACTTTTACATTTGCTATCATCAACATTTTGGGAATGATATGAAGAGTATTTACTGTATAACAGCTGTAGACTCATTAAGCTTTTTTTTTTTTTTGAAGCCGGAGATGTGTAAAACGAGCAGGACCCACTCCGGAATTCGAACTGCAGACCTTCCGACTGCTAGCCGGACGTACTATTCAGTTACATCACGAAGGCCCGTGGCAGTGAAGGAGAAAATACCTTTCACAATAATGGCAAAATGCTTTTTTTTTTTTTTAATATTCTCAAGAATACAAAATTATGTAAGAGTTTAAGAAAGAAAAAACTCCATTTTGATTTATCATTATCTTCATTTCATATAAGAATACCAGAGCTTAAGAAAATTAAAAATATTTTATAATAGCAATAGATATTATAGAAATGAATTTTCAAATATACGTACGTATGAAATCAACGCTTTTAGGAATTTCAGAAGACTTTGATTGTACTCTTTATATTTTTACGGTCCATTATTTTTTAATACATATTATCAGACCGTAAAATTGTACTCCTAATATTTTTACGGAATTTATGTAATCATGCCTATTAGGGTAAAAATTATTGATATAGGAAGGCCGCACAGAGTATGTAAAAAAGGTGTTTCTTGAGGGTGTTTAATGTAATCATGAAGGCATGAAAACCATACTATAGTATGAACACTGAGATGTGTTCGTGATTTCTTCAGTGCAATGACTACAGCTCTTATATTACATTAAACCACAACGTTGAACTTCCTGTTAATGGATATTCATAGAAAGAAAGGTTTTGTCTATTATCAGAGACATCTCTCTCCTTTTAAAATGCATGGATTCTAGAATTATCTATTCAAGGGGTGTATCTGTGAAAAGGGAAAGGTAGTAAACATAACTTCAGCTGTGCAAGAAATGTGTTGTAATGTGTAATATATTTTTTCTGCACCTTTTAATCTAGTTATTTTGCACAGCATGAATTACATATTCTAAATATTTCATGGGAATAATAAACCTATGCAACATGATTTGTCCATTTATATTCAAATTCTAGGTAGTTATTATTTAGGATTAGTTCTACAGCTTCCCAATATGCTTGACCACTCCCTTTAGCTATACTGTTAACTGATATTTCAAGAATCCACGGACCCTCAAAATACTGAAACGTCCTAGTTAGCAGACACTTCCTGATAAGTGTTTGTATCCTGCGAGTGCAAATTAACGGGTGGCTCAGCTGCACTTGTAAACAGTGTAATTAAAATTATTAAATTTACTATTACATGCATGTCCTTACTTTTGTATTTGCAGGTTTTACAGAACCCTAATTACAACGAATTACAAATATATGGTTAGGAGAATTCCTGACTCAATTGAAACGTATCCCGGTAAAGGCCAGAATAGAACAATAGACTGCAAGTAGGGGATTGTTTCACAAATGAAGAACTTTAGCAATAGTCTGAACAATGAGCCTCGCTAATTCTGACTTAAGCCATAATTCAGTATCCTTGAAGCATAAATTAACTGTCATCTTTTCTTGTCTTCCTATATACCCTTTCTATATTTTTTTAACTTTAGACCTATCGGGTACTGTCAAATATCTGAAAATTTAGAGGTTTTAATCGTTTATAACTTTGAACTTTGACTCAACTTATTTTTCAGGACAAATTAACTAAAAAAACTATAATCCTATTCACCATTCATATATCATAAGAACATTCTTATAAACAATCGTATAGTGGTAGTACAAGTTAAATTTTAGATTCGCTTTGTGAGTAACTATGCAAAAGAAAAAATCAATAACCTAAATCTAATAAAACTCCATGTTTCTTAAAAAGCCTCCCGGCTCAAACAAATGGAGGGACATGGAAGACCACAGTAAATTACACAAAAGATAAATACACAAATGCAATAAAATTTTAAACACACATTTATTAAATTCTTGAATATATTATATTAGTAGTAAATACTTGGGCAACTGATCAGTATCTCCTACCACATATTTTTACTATGAAAATATCGCATCTGTCACACAAGATTTCAGCTTACAATAATTAAATTTTAAATTAATAATTAACATTTTTTTTCAGAAATTAAGGTGTAACATATTTTAATTCTTTAAATAAATTATTCTCATTAATTAGGAATTAACGTTTTTCTAACTCCAAATTCAGTAGATGAAACAAATTTTAATCCTTCCAAAACTGGCCTTAACTTGAAATTATAAATCACTTCTCAGTTTTATTAACTGTAATATTTAATTTATATAATTAACGGCAATATATGCATCGTAGATAAATCATTTTTAACCTATCCACCACGGCATTTGGAAAACTAAGAAAAGAGAGAAAATAATCTTAAAATATTTTCACTCACAGATGAAAGACAGTTTTTCCAGGTAGCAGGATCCTTAGTGTCCAATCCACAGGGAAATGAGCCAAGTCCATTTTCCTTCTGTCGTAAGCCTTTCTAAGCGTCTAAAATTATTAGAAATCACGAGTGGAAACTACAGTCTAATAATTCTTCAAACAGCCAGAAATCGCGTTATCTGTCCATTAGGTGGGAAACAATTTTCCGAACAGAAAGATCTTTAGTGTCCAATCCAATTCACAGGGAAATGAGCAAAGATCCTTTTTTCCTTTTCAAAACACTTTCGGAAGCGTCCACTGATTTCAGGAACAAGGGGAGCATGATACCTCCTTCTGGAACAAATCTGTATCTCATGACAAATTCCTTCAACTGGAATGTCTCAAACATGACTATTCAAGTTTTCCAAAATACACTATGAAGCGGCGAAACTAAATTTTGCGTAGAGCACTTTCGGCACAAACTTCTTAGCTGTAACAAATCTCTTCTGTCTATGGCGAACAATTCTAACTGGAAAGCCTCTAACATGACTATTCAAATATCTCAAAATACACGATGAAACGGTGAAATCAAATTTTGCGTAGAGCACTTTCTCCGTTCGAACAAATTCTCATCAGCGGAAAAGCCGCGAGAAACCTCGCCTCAGACTGAGGCGCAAGCCCCCCGCAGGATGTCAAGCCCCACCGAAATTTGTCTTTTACTGCTTTACATCTTCGCAACTCACATCTGTCCCCAAATCCGACTCAATAGCCGGCGCTCCGGAGAGCAAGACCCGCAATGTGTCAAGCCCCCTCTCATTTCGCCTTTTTCTTTCTCTTAGCTTGAACATCAGAATCAGAATGACTCTAACAAGGTGCAAACCTCTCAGGAAATCTCGGTTTCTCCGCCTCTGTAAACTCATAGGCCTACAAAAAATCATCAAATTAAATCTTACCAATGCAGAATTTTACTTTATCTAAACTGAGAAAATGACACTCCCATTACGAATCACAAACAAGAAAAATTTCACAATGAGCCAACATCTATACTCAGGAAAAACGAGGGAACTAAAGTGAACCCCCTAACTAACAAGCGCAAACTAAGCTTTACGAGAATCCAATTACCTAAGCTTACAACAACCCCACTGTCTTGAAGTAAACAAAATTGCAACTATAACAAAGCGAAAGCAAGACGATCTTCGTTTCAAACGCCATTGGTAAAAGGCGACAACATAACACCCTACTGCCTCCATTGTTAGTAAAAAGGCCATAAACCAAAACCCAGATGTATTTCCTCGCAACCATCTCTCGCCTTTGCTACACTTTCTACTCAACGAGTTAAATAAAGCCTTAACAACTTAAGATTACTTTTTTCCAGATTAAAATACACATGAGTACAAATAAAAGAAACTAGAATAATCAAACTTAAAACACGTATTAATAATTAAAATTCGCGACATGACAGTACTTTCGGGAAAATAAGCCATTAAAGTAAGTTCTATTCAAGAAGAATTTCCTTTATCGTAAAGAAATCTGCCTTATGACAGAAAAATATGCGTCGTGTTTCATAAGCATTTAATAGGCAAAATTTAACAGGCAGTAAAGTATATAGAAAACATATTTTTGTCACAGAATGCATGTTCGTAAATGCGCTAGAAAGAGTTTTAAAATAGCTATAAGATTATGAGATATAAACCTGAGAATGGCACAGAAGATGGAAAAAAAAAAGCTTTAATCATGAATAATAATAGTTTTTGCTCTACGGAATTAACTCCCAACACTCAACAATGATGAAAAAATTAGCAGCACTGCAAATTTAATTTAGTCATATTTTAGGCAGCTGTGGCACCGCCCATTCTGGCGATGAGTTCCTAACCAAATTCAAAAGAAATCTCTTAAGATGTTACCACAAAATAAAATCGAAACGGGGCAGAATGGGTAATAGTGGGAATCTAGGTAGGACATTACATAATTCAATATTCAAGGACCGCATATTTCAACATACCGAAAATGGCATCCAAATGAATTCCTTAAATCTTGTCCAAACCGTGTCAGAGCTATATCGTGCTGGAATATATACGCTGCCGCTGAAAACTCTCCCAGTAAGTTGCTGAAAACTCCCCCAGTAACTCTGATGAGACCTTCTATAGTAAAATTCTATACATTTCTCATCTCGTCGGGAAGAGCATGCCTGTTTTTCATCTTCTACAGAGCCTATAGCCTCAGAAGTGAAGCCAAGGATTATTACGCTACAAAATTTTCTCGTGTGTAACGTCAATGGCTTCTAGCCTGCTAAAAAGCCATTCCCACGTCTGTAAATAAATGACATCAGCGTTGGGAAGTGCCTAACCTTGTTCTACTGGGTTCAGTCTTGACGATCTGGGTACACTCAAGCTTGAAGGACTGCCACTTGCTAGCTAGCAAGCGCTAGTAAGGAGTTACTCCTTCATGTTTCATTTTCGCATTCTGTGACAGAAACTCTTTGCATCTGTGCATTTTACGACATTTTAAATCTTATTCCATCTTTTTTTAAACATTCTGTGTAAGTCATATATAATGCCAGTAAATGGACTTTTTGTGTTTATTTTCTAACTTTAAAACTTTGTCTCGCATCATGTGAAACTGATTTATTTTACGTTTCTGTTCCAGGCAATGAATTTGTGATACAAGATCTGAGCTTCGAAAGTGATTACGCTGTTCGTGTAGCTGCGCACAATTCAGTGGGTTATAGCAACTATTCAGAAGAAATAGTTCAGAAGGACTAAAGGCCTGGTTGCCGAGACTGTCGTTGATGGCAGCAGCGTGTCTTCCTCTTATAACTGCGCAGTGCATCTCGATGTTGCTCTCTTCCACCGTCACATGGTGCTTCCGGTGCTTTTCATTCTTGTTATTTATATTCACCGCTGAAAAATGGTGCATTCCCCTTTGTGAGCAAAAATGTGTCACTTGGCATTTCTTTGGAATGAAGATTCTATCTGAAGATCATGCTTAAATGTGCACACGCTGTTGTAAAATCGGATGTGGATGTGAACTATTAAACTCCGAATTAACTGTGGTTGATAAAACGAACAGTTGTGTCTTTTCGAAAAAAAAAATCATTCTACTAAAATTTCAGTATTTACATCAGCACTATGAAATCTTAAGGTCAATCGTAAAACATTTTATGTGGATCAGGAAACATGATTTCGGACTAGCTTGATGATTATCAGAATAAAAGCAAATGTGGATGGTTAAGAAAAATAATTCTACATTCTTTGCTTGATTCAATTTTCGAATAAATTTTAAGCGTCTAATGAAAGGAAGTCCCAGAATATTTCAGTAATAAGATATTTGGGTTGTAATTTATACCTTTCGAATCAACAGCAAAATGAAAGGTGCTAAGGGGAAAAATCATTTGAATATTTCAGATAATATATAAATTAAGGTGAGATACGAAGGCTAATTGCGAAGTAAAAAATATATTAAATTATTTTATTGATCGCATTTTTTCAAAAACATTTTAAATGATCGTGTTTTCTCAACATTTACATGGAAATCAGTATAAATACCATAACAATTATTCCCGAACAAAATCGAAAAAAATCCGCTATATATATATACATAGCGGATTTTTTTTTCGATTTTGTTTATCGATTTTGTTCGATTCATTTTAAATAAAAAATTAAGAAACGTAAAGTTTGGCATAATAATTAGCTCCTCCAATTAGTCGAAGCTCTAATTCAAATTATTAAAAAATTAAAAGTCAGACAAAATATCATGAAAATGTAAACGTTTGTTAATTCACATGGATTACATGACAAAGAAAGTTGAAGCTTTTTTGTTAGTGACAAGAATAATTTTATGTTAAAACATTACTATTTTCCTTTTTCTTAAATTAATATAATATGATGCAAAAGTTTAAAGTGTCATAATTACTCCTAAATAATTTGATGTAGTTCCTTTAAAGAGTCCAGTCTAAAGTCTTCATTAAAAGAAATTCTTTAATCCACGTGTCACAGGCCATTTCTGTCCTGTCTCAGTGGTCATGTAGGAAACGCATGAAGGGCATACCTTTTCAAAGCAGTCATGCAGCATGAAATCTACCGCTTTTAGTAGTAATTTATTTCTTAGTTGCAACACTAAATCACTACATTCAAATATAAAAATAAATACAAATAACTAACGATACGTGAATGAAAATAATTTCATTAATTAACAACCTATACAATTTTAAGTCCTTTAATTATTAAATTAAATTAACGTCCTTTCAATTTTACTGAATAAAAGCAGAAGTGTCCCTTAAAAGAGGGGAGTTTTTATGAGTCATTCCGTCACATACGTTACAAACGTCAAGCAGCATAGCCAAAAATAAAAATAAATATGTTTATTAACATAAATATAATAATAATATAAATAAATATAACATAAATTAATTAATATATCTCCACCATTAAATGTTGGCGTTATTATGAAGTAATGCCTTTAAGAGATATTTCTGAAAAAATTTCCATACATTCAAATACACTGACCACTCAGTGTATTTGAATGTAAGAAAACATACCCACTCAGATATGTAATATAAATAACTGAATGCACTCGTTGCTTTTTTTATGAATTATTATGAACAAATATTTAGCATGCTTTAGGACCGCATGCCAGTTAAAATATACATTGAATCATTCCCATAAATTCAAAACTGTTATCGACACGTTCCGATGAAATGAAAGTTATGTATTTATTTAATATTTGTAGAAGTGAGATTAACCCTTTACCCACGAAAGGTGAATCTAGATCATCATTTAATTTGCTGCTGTAACTCCAAAGGTACCTCTTGGTCACAACGTGATTTGATATAATAACTCAAGAGGTGACTCTGTATCATCACTCGCTTTGAATCGATTATTCGAGCGGTAACGATGTTTAATTTTATTTGGTTGGCCATATTGCTTCAACAAAACACGCGTATAAAACAATTGCCAATTTTTAATCTTATAAACGTTTTTACTTCCTTGTACGAAGTAAAAAGGAAGTATTGTAATCATGTTAAAGTTTCAGGCAGGATATTTTAACGAAAATATCCATTTTGACCGCTATCGAATGCAATTTATCGATGTTTTTGCGTGACATCTGTGCGTAAAGACAGAACAAAAGACTCTTTTTCTCAAAAAATTATAAAACTCCTTTAATTTGAATTCTGAAGAGAATTTATCGTGGCGTCTGTACGAACTTATGTACGTATGTACGTACGTATCTTGCATAACTCAAAAACAAGAAGCCTCAGAACTTTGAAATTTTGTATATGGGACTGCTGTAACACGTGGATGTGCACCTCGTATTTTCGTTGCAATCGGCCGCACCAAACGTATATAACTATATATCAGTTTCTTTACTCTTATATGTTTGTAAATTGCGCATTTTTTGCTTTAAAATGATTGAATTATATTGCTCTTATCTTACGGTTAACGTTTGTATGCCTTTAGTAAATCTGCAAGCAATATTCGTACAATTATCAAATATTTAAAAGCTGTTTAGATGCGGTTAAACCTTAAGTTTCAAATAACATGGCGGACATATTTGTTTACATTTGAAACAGCAGAATAGTAGATTTGTTGCCAATCTAGAGAGACTAAGCTTCACAACAACAAAGATAACGCCTTCATTTATTATTTCGAATCAAATCATGCTAATCGCTTCTGGAATTTCTTCGAGGAAATAAGTGTTTAAGATTTAGTTCGTAATTTTTAATACAGATATTTTGAGTTTTTATGTATTTTTGCCTTGTCGCGAAGTAAGAACTGAATTGAATGAGAAGAATTAATTGAATGAGAAATACTAAATCGACTGTGAAAAAACATTTTTTTATATTAGAGTATTTGAATAGAACATATGGCAACGATTAGATAATTCTTCAAGTTATATAAATTTTGTGCATTCTGAGTTATACAATGAAAGAAATATAACGCTGTTAAGTAAACCTAGCGCCAGAGTGTTGCTATGGTAAACAAATATAGTGAACTTTGAAGAGTGCATTTATTCTATTGTGGTTTATGCGCTATCGGCAAAGTAAATTTAATACTGTTGCATGTAATATATCACTTGAAAATAGAATTTATGCTGCTAACGTTTAAAACTATTTGCTTAGTGCAAGATGGAGGCGACTTAATATTTTCCAGAAAGAAGGCATGTTTATGGTTAAATATTACTTCGTAACGAATTCCTATGAAAAAGGTGTTCAAATGTTTGAAGAGACCTTCTAGCAACATTCCGAACCTATGAAGTCAGTGATATTCTGCCTGGTAACTTGATTTAGTGGTTACAAGTCTCTTCTGAATTCAGTAAAAATGAAGGATTTCAGGATTAAAATGTTCTATAAAGAATCCAAAAGTCACCTACAAATACAAAAATTTACCGTGTATTACAAAGTACTGCTCAGCCATAAAAATTCGTTTTGCTTTGCAAAACTCATTTCCATCTTGCACTAAAAACGGTATATAAAATTAGCTGTATCAAATGCAACTGAAATTTCAAATTATATCCTACTTGCAACAATATAATGGTGTTACCCATTGAAAAAAATTGACATTAATATCCATTTTGGAATTTTCACGATTTTTGAAAGTTTAGGAAGACCAACGTTTGGTTCACTCGGTATCTATAATTTCTCATTCTATAATATGCCGACCTGTGAAAACGCATTTTAGAAAGGCAAAAGAAAAAGATCATTTATCATTGAATGAACTGCGTTTATTTATGAAATTATTAGCAAAAGTAATAAAAATCATTTATTAAGTATCATTTATTCAAAATAGAACTAGAATTTTTTTTAGTGTCGCCGTTTAACGTAAAACATAATCATACTTACAGGTTACATACCAGTTACGCATTCGGAAATGTGATAAAACACGGACTTTCGCTGTTAAATTGGGTTAATTTTAATGAAGGAAATAAATGAAACCTTAACATATTCTAAAGTAGTCGGGATGAAAACTGTAGTTCTTTACAGAAATAGCCACTAATTTATTTAAATTCGAGAAAAATTTGAAGATGAAAAAGAAATGAAGCAAAATCTAAAAGAGGAAAAGTCCTCGACTTCTAATTTTCATTCAACAGAATAAATAAGCAAAGTTTTTTAGCTTTTACTAAATATGTTTATATTTTCCAGCATAACTAAAATTTGCAGTTTGCTGCTTTTTATTTTTTATTTACTTTAGGTTATGCATATTTATGATTTGCGAAACTTATTTACTCTAATTAACTGGACAATTTTGCTATTTTTTCATGTATCTGGCTTTGAAGTTCAATAATTTGAGCTTTTATTTAATAAAGCGAGAAATGAAAATTTGGACGAATTTGACGATTGAATATTCAAGATAAATCTTTCATGTCATAATGTGTTAAAATAAAAAAAAATATTTTCTTCAAGGAAAAATAATAAAAGGTTAAGCTGTCAAATAGGTAATTATCTATTCATTTGTTTGAACTTACTAATTATAATTTAATTTCTGTTTAATTTATGCTTAAATGAAGAAAATAAATTACTGTTTTTCCTCGTTATTACACATATGGTTAGTATGGTTTATAATATAAGGTTTTAAATATATCGATATCGTAGATGTGAGGAAAAAGTGTAAATAATCGACTATTAACGCAGAATAAATTTTATCTGTTGATTATTAGCTTATCACATACAAGATTTTAATTATTAATTAAATTTCAAATTTTTTAATTAAAGATTAAATTGGTTTTAATCCACTGGAAGTTCGAGAATTGTTAGTCTGGTGAAAGGACTAGCGAGCAAATTAAAATATCACACTAATTCGCATGCAGCTTAATAACTAAGGAACTAGAATTGGGAAGGGAATTAAGGATAAATTTAATTTTACTATCATAGAAATAGTATGCCTCTATGTTATTTTTGTCTCTAGCAATATAACGTTGAATATTTTTTTCGGCATTTTATTATTGCGATAAAGTCAAATGTAAGCATATTTCCTATTACATTTTCCCTTATTTCCATAAATAAATTGCACGCTTTGAAGCTGCTTATGTGAAACGAACACAAAGCATTGCACTATTTTAAAAAATAGCATGTAAACATACTTTTTGATGTGCACATTTTTAATTAAAATTTTTCGATTTTTAACAGTAAAAAATTAAGAAAATCTCATAAAATGCCTCAGTTATAGAAAAACCACTTACTCGTTTATTTGTAAGTC